TAAAAATTGGGCTATGTCCTTCGTATTTTCAAACCGACATTAGATGGGCCTTGGTCATGCATAACCCGTTAGTTGCGGCGCCAAACCATTTCACCATCATTAACTACATAAAAAAGCCCTTGAGGCTTCGTTGGAGCTGCTAGGTCTCCTCTCGACAGAGCCGTTTGCTTCACCAATTGCTGGACCTCACATGCGGATCCGGCACTCATTCGTGGAAAGGCGCTCACGACGATCGACAAGTAATCCCGTTCGCAAAAGGCTCTCACCGCACCGACAATTGGTGGGCCCCACAAGTGGGTCTCAATCACGAAGGCTTTCACAACCGTCACTCACCGATGCGGACCATCAGCTCGTGGCCGCGCAACAATCAAACAAGTAGAAGTAATTTATACTAGTTTCGTACCGAACAAGGCATTCCTCAAACACTAATCCTGAGAATATAGTCTAAATCACTGTTGACGCTATGATTTTATTTAATTACTGCATATATTAATCATTGTTTGTAGTTGTACACCGTGTACTGTATATTTGTAATTAAAAATATAAATGTTAAAATAAACTTGTGTCCAGGGTGTGTTAGAACATATGGAATTATGTGAGTTTTAAACCAAATGGGGGTAAAACTTTGGGTTCTTTAACAAAAAACCCTAAACAATGAGTTAAAGTTTACATAAAATTATAAAAGAAATATAGATTTTCAAGGTTCACCTTTAAAACGTAGATTATTTACACTATGGAGCGGTAAAATTTACAATCTGTTTAACTTTAACACCCTAAAGTTTTTATTGAACACTTTGATACCCTAAGCATTCTTTTTTACTTCAATACCCCATATTTTCCCCCCATGTACTTTGAATCTCAAACTTTACATTTTTCATTTAGGGACCAATTTACAAGCCCCTTAGGATTTGAAGGGCTTAGCATCAATTTGAAAGATTTTTCGTGACTAATATGTAATTATTGAAGATATGAGGGGCTAATATCTAAATAACCGTAAATCTTATGTATAGTGAGATAAATAATTAATACCAAGACTCTTAATGAAGATGCATGTTGGTTGTAGCCATCAAGGAGGAATTTAGCCTAAAACACTCCAATGGAAAATTAAAATTTAACTATTAGTTTTTCTCGACTTAGATTTACTATTAAATTGGTTTACCATTTATCCAACAAAGTATTATTTTACCCAGTTAATTTTTGTATGGCACCCCCTTAAAATCTTTTATATTTTTAGTTTAGTTATTCAGATTATGTAAATGTAGTTACGTTCGCCGGTTGTTAAATTATTATGAAATTAATCCCTCACATTATTACAATTACTATTAGGTCCTTCGATCCCTAAATTATTACAAAATTAGTTCTTCAAATCAAGAATAGAATTAACAATTAGAGTGATTTACTTGAATAACTTATGCTATATGTGTTGAGATGTGTACAACTTATCTTGGTGTATTGAATTGTAAATGTGTGATGCAATTTGATCCCTAAAATGAAAAAGTATTATACAAGGGACTGGTTCTTTATCTAAACTTCTCTTCATTTAGATCCTTACTTATAAAGATACAAAGTACTATCAAAATAACTATCTTATACTGCATAATATAAAATTTAAAGAACAAATTAAAAACTACCAAGATTAAAGGTTACAATAGTGAAAAGTTAATGACACCACCTTATCTACACGTTATATATTATTCAACCATATTATATGTTCTAATACAATATAAATGAGAATTATTTTAAAAATACCAAATTTAAAGGTTATAGGAGTGAACATTTGATATATGACACCTCCTGATGTACGCGTTATAGAGTACTCCAACATATTATACCTTTGCAACTTATTGAGCACTCTATATATTCCTAGATATTTACTTTCCCAATTCATAAATATCTATCATCTTCTATATTTTGTATTGCCATACATAGTCTTTCAACTTTATACAAAACATATACACCGTACACGTGCAAAGCACGTAACCTCTTAACTAGTTTGCAAAATGAGTTTAATTTTGAAAGCAATTAATCTACGTATTATTCCAAAATTAACCTTGATTGAATAAGGGCCAAGTCACAACTTTCGGACTACACTCCTTTCTTGTACGCAAGCGAGGTCGGTGTAAAAACGGACAGATGACAACTGTAGTTACTCAAAACAGAGGACAAAATCTAAAATTCTGGATAACGTTTTTTATTAGGGGCTGTTTGGTTCGTTTCCTACATCCATAGGGAAATGTATTTCCATGTACAAAAACATAAGTTTTGAGTTTTTCAAATTTTTTCAAGAAATAGATTGTTTCGCTTTGGTTCGCACAAAAAAATGATGGGAAACCAAGGTATTTATTTTTCTTGTGTTTGGTTCGCACAGAAAAAAAGGAAAAACTTTTGTTTATATGGCAAAAAACCGACGTGGCTACAGTTTTCGTCGATTTCGCGATGTTGGGGAAGGAATTGAAGGAGAGAAAAAAATCTGATGTTGCAGTAATTTTCACCGAGTTTCCTTTCTTCAACCCTAGCGAACCAAAGATGGGAAAAAAACCAACGGAAAGCTTATATCCTATGTGGTCACGAAAAATCTGATGTGAAGACGGTGTAAAACTTTTTCATGGAGTTAAAAAACGAACCAAACAGCCCCCTAGCTTACCTTGGCCTAAAAAAAATTATCTCTTCAAAAAAAAAATTTGAATTGACAAATAAAATAAGTTAATAATTGTTCATGATGGACGCGTGTCACCAGACTAGAGTATTCTAGCAAGCAGAGAACAGATCGAGAAGCAGCGAAGCTTACTTGGATGACGTCAACCTTAACTCCATCGATCCCCGCCTTCTCCAAGTGCGAATGCAAACCCTCATAAAGCTCATGGGCCTTCGTGGGCTCCACAAGCCCAACTCCATTGCTCACAATCTTATCCACCGCCAAATCCTGCATCGTCTTCTCCAGCCCCGGCGACAATCTAGGCCGAATCAAGCGGGCCTCCGGCAAGCCCACTGTTTTGGGCCTCAGCCCACCCCAATACCCACAAAGCGCATGCCAAACGTACACGTGCTCAATACTCGGGTACGATTCCTTCAAATCCTTAACAAACGCGCCCAAACCCTCACCAAATTTAGGGCTTTTGTACTCTTTGAATTTGAAATTCTCCTCGAATTTCGTGAGGCGGCAGGGCATTTGCTCGCCGGCGGTGGTCAAGGTCATGCCTTCATGATCGGGATCTTCGCCGTCGTAGCAGATTGACTGCCATCCGTCGTCGATGAGGAC